GTGTGAAAAAGAGGGTTTTGGGGTGAAAAATGTATTAAAAAGAGGGTTTTGGGGTGAAAATTGTATTAAAAAAGGGTGTGGGGGTGAAAAATTTTATTAAAAAGAGGGTTTTGGGGGTGAAAATTGTGTGAAAAAGAGGGTTTGGGGATGAAAATTTTATTAAAAAAGGGTTTGGAGGGTAAAAATTGTATAAAAAAAGAGGGTTTTGGGGTGAAAATTGTATAAAAAAGAGGGTTTTGGGGTAAAAATTGTATAAAAAAAGAGGGTTTTGGGGTGAAAATTGTATAAAAAAGAGGGTTTTGGGGTGAAAATTGTATTAAAAAGAGGGTTTTGGGGTGAAAATTGGATTAAAAAGAGGGTTTTGGGGTGAAAATTGTATTAAAAAAGGGTTTGGGGGGTGAAAAATTGTGTGAAAAAGAGGGTTTTGGGGTGAAAATTTTATTAAAAAAGGGTTTGGGGGGTGAAAAATAGTGTAAAAAAGAGGGTTTTGGGGTGAAAATTGTATTAAAAAAGGGTGTGGGGGTGAAAAATTTTATTAAAAAGAGGGTTTTGGGGTGAAAAATTGTGTGAAAAAGAGGGTTTTGGGGTGAATATTGTATTAAAAAAGGGTGTGGAGGGAGAAAAATTGTATAAAAAAGAGGGTTTTGGGGTGAAAATTTTATTAAAAAGAGGGGTTTGGGGTGAAAATTGGATTAAAAAAGGGTTTGGGGGTGAAAAATTGTGTGAAAAAGAGGGTTTTGGGGTGAAAATTTTATTAAAAAAGGGTTTGGGGGTGAAAAATTGTGTGAAAAAGGGGGTTTGGGGATGAAAATTTTATTAAAAAAGGGTTTGGAGGGTAAAAATTGTATAAAAAAAGAGGGTTTTGGGGTGAAAAATGTATTAAAAAGAGGGTTTTGGGGTGAAAATTGTATTAAAAAGAGGGTTTTGGAATGAAAAATTTTATAAAAAAGAAGGTTTTGGGGTGAAAATTGTATTAAAAAAGGGTGTGGGGGGTGAAAAATAGTGTAAAAAAGAGGGTTTTGGGGGTGAAAATTGTATTAAAAAAGGGTGTGGGGGGTGAAAAATAGTGTGAAAAAGAGGGTTTTGGGGTGAAAATTGTATTAAAAAAGGGTGTGGGGGTGAAAAATTTTATTAAAGAGAGGGTTTTGGGGTGAAAATGGTATTAAAAAAGGGTTTGGGGGTGAAAAATTGTGTAAAAAAAGGGTGTGGGAGTGAAAAATTGATCAGAGAAAGGGTTTTGGGGTGAAAATTTTATTAAAAAAGGGTTTGGGGGGTGAAAAATTGTGTGAAAAAGGGGTCTGAGGGTGCAAATTGATCCGAGGAGGGGCTGAGGGCTGAAAATCCCGTCTGACACCGGCCTGGCGGGGAAATGCATCAAAGAAAGGCTGGGATCACGGGATCGTGGGATCCCATGATTGATCCATGATCGATCCCAGGATCAATTGCATGATTGATCCTCTCCCCACCCGTGATCGATCCCGTGATCGATCCCGTGACTGATCCCGTGATTGATCCATGATCGATCCCAGGATCAATTACATGATTTATCCTCTCCCCACCCCGTGATTGATCCCGTGATTGATCCTGTGACTGATCCTGTGATTGATCCATGATCTATCCCAGGATCAATTACATGATTTATCCTCTCCCCACCCCGTGATCGATCCCGTGATTGATCCCGGGATGGATCCCATGATTGACCCCGTGATTGATCCCATGATTGATCCCATGATTGATCCTGTGATTGATCCTGTGATTGATCCCGTGACTGATCCCGTGATTGTGTCATTTATCCCTGTCCCCGACCTGTGATTGATCCTGTGATTGATCCCATGATCAATTGTGTGATTTATCCCCGTCCCCGCCCCATGATTGATCCCACGATCGATCCCATGATTGATCCCTTGATTGACCCCATGATTGACCCCATGATTGATTATATGATTAATTACATGATTTATCCCTGTCCCCAACCCGTTATTGATCCTGTGATCAATCCCATGATTGATAATACGATTAATTACATGATTTATCCCCGTCCCCGTCCCCGCC